CGCCCCGCCGCAAGGCTCTGCAGGGAAGCTGCTCCCGCCACCTCAGGGAGAGGGGCTACCGTCGAGGGGCTACACTGCCAGCCCTGGGGCGCTTCATCTCCCCTCCATCTCCTCTTCGCCCCCCTCTTTCCCCCCCCCCCCCCCATTTTGGAATGGGGGGCAGAGGGGGGTGAGCCCGAACCGGGGTCTCCCCACAGGGCACAGCCCCAGCCGTGGGGCTGGAGCAGAGCGTGGGTCGCTCGCTCCTCTGTGTCCTGTGCTGGGGAGCTCCAGAAAAAAATATTTTCCGTGTTACCACCTTTTTTTCCCCCACTTTTTGCTTTTCCCCTGCTCCCAGCCCGTTCCACCGCTGCTGCGCTTTGCAGAAGGGCAGAAAAATAATTTGAATAATGGCGTTAAAATCGTAATTTGGGTCTTTGAACAAGGCTTGTTTCCAGAGCCTCACTTCATCATTTCTGTTGCCTTTTTAAGAATATTTTAATTATGCCCGTGCAGATTTATTCAGAGATTCTCATACCGAGTAAAAGTGTAATGCACATCTGACATAGAAATGGAGGGATTTTGATCCCTTCTAATCCCTGCAGGCAGAAAAATCCAGCGAACACACGCAATTGAGAGCTGGAGGATCTCCGATTTTTATTTTTATTTTTCATGCTTGCAGTGACTGTTTCCTGCCTGGGTCGGGTTTGCCGGCTCAGCTGTGCCATTTGCTGGCAGACGTTGCCGCAGGAGCTCGCGGGCGGTGTTTCCAGGTCTGGTGGAAGGGAGGGATGCAGCAGCGCTGGCGTGAGCCATCCCTGCAGGGACGAGCCCCTAGAGACACCCCAGGGATGGCCGTTGGGGAGCCTACCCGGGCCAGCTGCCTCGCATCCTCTGCTGCTTGCCCATCCCGGCTGCATCCACCCCTGCAGAGCCACAGACCTCGGGTAAAAGTCAAGCTGGCCTCTTGTAATGGGGTGGGGTGGCCAGAAACTCAACCTCTCAGCCTGTTCTCATGCGTGGGAGGTGTCTGCTGGCACCTGCCAAACAGCATGGGGTTTAAGAAAGCATTTTGAAAGACTGACCAGGTGTCGCTGGGCAAATGGCAAAGCTGTTTTCTGGGCGAGGAAGAGAGGGAGGATGGCTACCGAAACACCCGCAAGTGGGTCCCAGAACTGCAAGGGAAACTTCCTCTCCCTGGAAACCCTGGGATGGCAGAGCTGCTGCTTGTGCTGCCAAGCGCTTTGGAGTCTTCCTTGTAATGACCGCATCCTAAAACACTGAGCTTGCATGGCTGGAGGAGCAAATGCCTTGCAAAGAGGCTGGGTTTTGTATGAGACCAAGAAATTGTGGTCTTGCTGCTATTTAAAAGTAAGTAAAATATAATAAAAAGAAATAAATACGTCTGGCTATCTTTCCACGGTTCTGCTGTCAAAGAAAACTTAATCTTCCCATGATCTTCTAAAATATTTATTTATTCATCTATTAATGACTGGCAAAACATCAACACAAAGGTGGTCTAGGCCATCAGCGACTGTTGAATTAATTTAATTATGCATTGGCAGTTATATTTGAAAAAATATATTATTTCTCAATGTATTTCTGATATATGCACAAGGAGTTGAACATCTTCTGTGCATTTAGAAAAACAGTAATCCCCTATGTAAGTGATTGTTTTCTCATGTGTACAAAGACTTTGGTGATGGGTAGAAAATGTAAATCCACTCTGCCATCGCTGCAACTGCAGAGCAGTACATCGTCATAGTAACAAATTCTGAAGGATATTTTTTTGATGGTGAAGATAATGTATCTAGAAAAGATCCTTGGGGGGCAGAGGTTTTTCTGTCCATCTGTCTTACAGAGCTGAAGCCCACACCTGAGAGAGAAGCTATGTCACCTGATAGTAATGAAATATATCTGGAACCAGATGATTCGTCAATATTACTACTGCCTCTAGGAACAGGATTAATTGGAGGGGTTAGAAGGTTTATAAGGATCAGTTGGTGCAATTCCACAGGGGCAAATTGACCTATTGCTTGTCTTTATCAGATGTTTTAAAAGAATAAGGATACACAAATGAATCACATGTTCTGTTTAGTATCTGCCTAAGCAGCTTAGGGGTGAATTGAGCACAGAGTGGAGGAATGTATTGTAAAAATATCCCAAGCAAGATGATCACTGAACAGACAAATTCTCCTTTTTCTGAGCAGAGTTAATTACATCACATAATTTCGCTTTACAACTTCCACTAGAGCATCCAGCATAAACATCACAGGAAGGACCTTTTATGAAGGAGTTTTATGGTGTGAACCCACAGGTTTGGATGGCTGAGTCAGTGTTGTGCTGGTATCGTTTGAGATTAGGTGTATGACTCAAAGCAGGAAGTTTGGATTACATTGGCTCCACAGATAGAAGACCATAGTTTCGGGGAAAAGAACAACCTTTCGGTGTTTGTACATAAATAAGAAGGAACTTCAGGGTACAGTTGTCTGAATTGCTACTGCAGTTCAGAGTGAAGATTATCTGTAAGCTGTAAGAAGAAAAAGAATATAGTAATGTGAATTATGTAATTTTAATTGGATTGGATGTATATTCTTAAAAAACAATATTCATGCAATAAAACCACTTGGATTTTTATCTGGTTCTTCTAATTGAAGCATATATCATGTCATTTATTTCAAGGGTGAACTAACACTGATACACAGCATTATCAAGAAAACACTCTCTCCTTGGTGTGGAAAAATCCGCTTTTGTCTAATGTGTTTCTTTTTAAATATTTACAAATGTGTTGGCAATAGCAACCTTGAAATATATTTATAGACAGAAACTTGGTTAAGTAACTGTGTAAGTCAGTGCCTTGCTATTTCACCTATATGTTTTATTTCCAGTTATCCGACTCTAACTGATCTGTAGGTGGGATTTTCTCTTCTGGTAGTGCTTCAAGGAGATCTTGAAATGGATTTTTCTTTTCTCTGTGTATTATACAGGGCTAGTTCTTAATTGTATTTCTTCTTTTGCTGAAAACTATCAGGAAATGTGATCTAAAATAACAGAAATTGTTAAGTTTAGAGATGGTTAAAAAATATTTGAAGATTTGAGTGACAACCTAGGAGCATTGGCTAGATCCCTTTACAGGCTTTGGGGCCGTTATTGTACCGCTTTTCCTTTTTCCAGCGTATTTTGCTAACTGTAGTTTCTTAAACCAGCAGCAAACGTTGACGCATCTGTCCTAAGCTGCCATAGAACTGATGAAATTGCAAACGAGCCCCAGAGAGAAACTGCAGAGTGGTTTCTTGTGCTGCCCCCACCTGCCAGTTCCTAAAGGCTTCCTTGGGTTCCATGTTGGCTTGCTCTTTCCCATTGGAACTGCTCCTTGGGTGAGCTTGGTTGGCACGTTCTGCTTCAGGAGGACTGAGACCCAGGAAAAGCAGCTCTGCTTCTTGTGTAGAATCACTTTCCAGAACAGTGTTTCATTTACACGTGACTTGGTGACTGGGTTTTCCTTTCCCCTCCCCTTGGTGAGTGTGTGGTAGAGGAGCGACCAGTGGATCACGGAGGGCCTGCAGGTACCTGAGTGACCAGTTTCATGAAACTTTACTAGCCTGGGATTTGAAGAATTTGGAGTGGCTTCTGTTTATCAATTTTAGTGTCTCATCGCTATTTCCTACTGCTGCTGACTTCCCTAAAAATGATATGAGCTCCTTCAACCTTTATTACTTCTCCAGTGTCTTTGTCTTCTGATACCTGTTTCTGCTAAAAATATTCTTCCTAATTC